TATATTATAAATTGATTTATTTAAAATATGTTTTTTTCGCTACACCGTTCTAACCATGTTTCAAAAATGGAAGCTAAAAGCTACGAATTTAATTTTGTAATTAAATTAAATACATTAGTTCCATTTCATCCTCAAGCGAATTAATGGTCTGTAAATTTACATTGGGCACTATTTTGTAAAAATAAAAATATCTATAAGAACACTGGATTATATATCTTACTGTTCTTTCTTTTTAATCATATATATATATATATATATATATATTTCAAATGTTTGAACAAAATTCACATTATAACCAAAAGTGTTTGCAGCTTCTCTTTTCGCTTTAAGAAATACACATTTCTCTCGTTGGGACAATTATAACGTTTCTCTAATATATATGTGTGTGTGTTAGCTTTTCACAAGTTTCTGTCCTTCGTATATCTAAGATACATTTGTCTCTCAAACTATCTCTGTTCTGCCATCTATTTTCACAATCTTGTTAGGTAGATGAATATATATTTTTTCTCTACACATCAATTTGCCATGTGAGTGTCAAATTCCTGATGTGATTATTTTGGGGGGAACGGAGAGCCTAGTTCCAAAACCCGTAGGTTTCCTTATGTTCACTTACGCGGGAAAGATATTAATCCAACTCTTCTCTCCTCACTTATGGGTTAATTAGTAAGATTTGTATCACTAAAATCATCGTTATCTCAAAAGAATAAAAAGAATATATATTTAGATTTCGGAATTATCCTATAGGGGTCGATATGCTGCTTAACAAAAACCAACCGAAATTTTGCTTATAGAAAAAGAAGCAGTAACCAGGGATTAGTTTGGATATTTGTAAAATTTTATGGACAGGTAGACTTTTTATCGTAAAGTAGGGACCTCCACTAATTCACTGAAAAACAAAACAGAATAGCATAATGAAAAAAAGGCTCCAAACTTAATAAAAACAAATTCTTATCGTCAAAATGTTTGTTATTATTAAAAGAAAATACCAAAATATTTTTTTATATTTTATTAATTTTTTTATAATTTCTAGCATATTTGAAATTTGAGTGTAAATTTGTTTTTTTCTATCCTCATCTTACTATAGGTGTTTTAGCGACCTTTTCTGGTAAAAAGTACAGTGATTTGGAAATTCTGGCAAAAATCAGGTAATGGTTGGGATTGATGAATCATTCAGGATTTCAAATTAATGAAAATATTTTTGAATTCTTTTTAAAAATAACTTGGAAAAATAATTAACTCTCCACTTAATATAATGAAATTTCGAGAAATTAAAAATCCAGCCTCTTCATATTTGTATTATTCAAAAGCAGGACTCCTTGGAGAAATTAAATTATCAATTTCTTTTTGTCGAACAACAATGTCATACTAAAAATCTGCTCAGAAACGTAAAATAAAAATGCCATAAAACATTGACATTATTTAGTTAGGAAAACTTTTAATATATAAATAAGATATATTAAGGACACTATTGTCTTAAGACAAAACATCGAAGAATGATCAATTTTTACAAGAACTGTTCACATTTTATTCTAAATTTTCATGTTTTTAAAATTTTAATTCAAATTTAAATATATTTTAAATCTTTGAAAATTCGTTATTAACTGTTGCGGATTCCGAGATGAATTCGGTCTACAAGGAATGACAAACGCAATAATTAAATATAAGAAATAAAATGTATTTGCACAATCATACAAAGAGTAATACTGTTAGTAAGTCCAGGAACGCGGTTAGTAGCAAATACAGATTGATATATACAGTCTAGAAGTAGGACTTCCTTAGAGTCTACGTGTTTGTAACTGACTTCTACTAGAGGTTACCTCACACTATCTCCGTTCGTATATTCTCTCACTCTCACTATATCCTCTCTCTATCCGACTACTCTCACTGACTGTCTAACCCTGGGTATTTAACGGCAGCAGTCCAAGTAACACTGGTAGAGTCCACTTATAAGAAAAGAGGAGGACACCATAACATTAACTACAGCAATTTAGATTATATTATTATTAAATGAAAATTATATTTGCTAATCATAAATGGTAACGCATCAGACACGTAGATTTTAAAAAGAATTTTGCATTTTTTTGGTTGCCCATACACGACATTATCAAAACATAAGAACGATGACTACAGTCAATTTAAAGTCAACATACCTGAAATTAGATTACGAAGACTATTTTCCAACATTTTTGAGATGACTTCTTACTTAAAGATTATATACAAAGACGCTCACGTCATTTTTTAAATTATGTTTTACAGAAAAATTCCCCGTAGCACAACAATGAATCTGTCATCAGCTCATCAAAGAGATTAACATGGCTACTGTCGGTTAAAAACACTGTTCCATTTTGCTCAAAAAATCATTTCAGCAGTTTTTCCAGCTTGAGGTAAAAGATATTTGTTTCAACTCAGATTAATTAAAAATTAAATCAGCTAATAATCTTAAAATAAAATTTCAGAAAAGTATATTTTATTGTTGGAAGATTTTGTTAATAAATAAAATTACATTGCGATGAAAGATGGCTAAAAAGGAAGATAATCAGCTATTTTTGCAAAGAAAATTTCGATTCCAATCAATATAATTTCTGTTTGAAATACACCAGAGTATTTTACTTACTGGAAATAGTAAATGTAATCTTTTAGCTTTCAATTAAGTCTAAAATTAAAGCTTCAAGGAAACTTTTTCATTTTGAAAAATTAATTTTAGATATTAAATACCGCGAATTAGTAGAGCTACCTATTGTAAAAGCAAAACTAGCTTTCAAATTCAAAGGCAGAATGATATAGATGTTCAGGATTCTTATTTTGCCTGATCAAGCACTGTTTACAAAGATCATTGCAAATGTTTGTCTGATTAGAGCATTAAAAACAAAGACATTACATGCTCACAAAAATATTATTAGTCAAGCACGTAGTTTTTATTGTCTTTGATAACTGTCTTCCATCGTTCTACAAGCTTTCTGATATCATTATCGTAGAAACTTCGCGTTTTTTGGAAGATTGACACAGTCAACGTTTTGTCATATAATTTGTTCTGTAGAGACCAAAACAAATACAAATCTGAAGGACACCATTCAGAAGAATACAGTGGCTACTGAAGGTTTTCCAATTTCTACTCTCTTAGTTCCTGCAAGGTCTATTCTGCCGCATGCTGTCTATCCGGTTTATTCAACACCGAGAGCAAGCAATGCTTCTTCATCGACGTCGGGCGATCGCCCTGAGTGTGGCTGATCGTTTATATTGAAATCACCCTGACGAAATCCTCCAAACCAATTTTTGAACGTTTAAACTGCTGAAGCACGGTCCGACGCTTAATACTTTCTATAGAGTGTAATATGGCGAATGTGCGACTTTTCATCCGCCATCTTTAAGACATTCATTTGTAGACAAAACTGTTAACCTTCAACAATATCTGACACGCAACTAAACGATGCAAGGTTTCGATCAGAAATCAGCACCAAAAACAAACACCAGTGTCAATTTGTGGTCATTTTGTATTAACATAATCAAGCATGAAACTTTAAGAATAAATGTTAATTATAAAATCTGTCATTATTATCAGAATAACGTTTGTGCGTGTTCATAGAACTAAAACCATATCTCGTAGATTAACTTGACATTACTTTGGTCAAATTTGAATTCTTCTTCAGATCAATATGCATAAACAGTTCGGAAATTGGTTTTCTCTTATTTTCTCGTTACAATAAGCGTATACTTTGAAAAAGATAATAAAGAAAAATTTAGGTTTTACATACGCATTATTTATGCCTTAATTTAAATAATTCAAATCAAAAAAAAAGAATCATCTTATTCATATTTGGAATTTTAATATATTAATACATGTACGATTTAGCGGATGTTTCCTGTCATCCCTTTCATTATAACAATTCCAACCGTGCACCGTTTAAAGTATGAAAAAAACATACAAACAATTTAGAATACATAGATTTAAGCCTTAAATTTTAATCTCTATGATGCACATGACGGATGGGGATCTCGTGTTGGCGGAAAATGAGATAAATAGAAAATGGATCAACGGATTAACAAAGCTTTGTGTGAAAATATATAAGTGATAAGAGGTTTTTAAAAATGATTTTTGCTGAACTAACTGTAATGAAATCGAATATTTCTAAGTCACACTGACGGATCAAGATAGTGCTGAGACGAATTTACAATAATCGGCGATTTAAAAGCTAAAAGACCCAGAGACAAAATACAAATATCGACAGAACATTAATCTTAATGTGCTCAGATCGAAGAACAAGTGAGCGATTAATAGCAAAAGAACTGGATATGAATAGGGAAACGTTTGTGTCAAATTCGAAAAGAGGATTCAGAAATGAGAAAATAATGAGAAGTACACAAGAAATGCATTACAAAAGTGGGTCATCCAACTTATTTAGTGCATTTAGCAGCTAATGATGTACTATTTCCAAACATGAATAAGGCCTTCAATAGACAAAGATGGTATTTATCAATCCACCCACGGGGATCGAATGTGGCGCAAGGCCTTTTTAATGTGGGTATTTGCGAGCCCATAGGCCCAGCCAAAAATAAATAAACATCCAAACCCGCCGAGGCGGGCCAGTTCCGTCAACCTCCCCCAACGAAACCCTACCCTTCGGCGGAGCTTCGTCCGGGTTCCTCTCTGCAAGCAGAGAGTTCGACATACACCCGACCCGGCAGCTCACAGAGCGCAGATACTACACTTTGATCCTAGCCACCGGGCCGAGCGGGTATTCTTTTTATAGACAAAGATTTGCTGACATCCAACAACGCGTGACTATATTATTGTTGTTTACGTCATTAAATTATTATGAAATACATTAGTAATTATGATCTCATCTTGAGCAATGTGAGACCCATCAAAAATTCACGGACGTCAATACCAATTACTTTAACAGAATTAAGACATCTCATAAAATACATGAAAATAGATAATAAAAATAAACGATTGATATGTCTTTGGTTGCATTTATACTTTAAACCCCCAAAAAATCCTTTTGAAACACCGGTTCCCGTACGATCCTCGAAGTTAAGCAACGTCAAACCTTGTCTGTATCTAGATGGGTGACCGCTTGGGAGTACTAGGTTCTGTAAGCCGGGATCTGCGGAAGGTGTAATGAATAGTGGCTCGGAATTACAATTGGGTTCGTTATATTCACTTACGCGCAAATACCTAAGAAAAATGCATCAATCCACCTCTTCTCCCCCAGCTATGGATTAATTAGTATGATGTGTGTGACTAAAATCATTATCTCCAGAGAATAAAATAAAATGCGTAGAAAATATTTAGGTTTCGGCATTACAGTGGGCTATGATAAGATTTTAGCCACCTTGATTACAGCAATTTTGGATTGTTTAATAACGTCTTTTTTTTTTTCAAACAATACTGTGTCAGTATCAAGCTACTCTAATCTATGAACAATAGTTCTTGCAATGAAAGTTTGTGGAAGTAAGGAAATTAGTGAATTTCAAAAAGAGCAAATAATAGGATGATCTCAATGTGGCAAGTCAAGTAGAGAAATTGCTAGGTTTTTCCAGGTTAATCATAAAACGGTTAATAATATTGTCAAGAAATTTAATGAAGAAGGCCAGTATCGTGTGGAACAACGTTCAGGAAGACCAAGCATCGTGTCTGAGCGAACGAAAAAGCACTGAATAGTGAAGTCATCAGAAACCGTCGTAAGAGCATCATAGACGTCGCCAACAGCATGGAAATGTCGCCATATGCGGTGGGAAAGACTCTGAAAGAGCTAGGCTATCAAAGAAGAGTTTCAAGAAAGAAGCCCTTGATTTCAGCGGTTAACAGGAACAGGCGTATAGACTAGGCGAGAGAATTAGAGAGCAAAGGTTATGAATTTTGGCAGTCTATAATTTTGTCAACTGAAAGTAAATTCTGTCAATATTAGAATTCGAGATAGGTTTATGTTTGGAGAAATCAGAATTGGAACTTGGAACACTGAATGTCTACAGGTGACCATGAAACATGGAGGGGTTGCAGTAATGGTGTTGGGCGCTGTCTGGTTTGGGCGGAAATCTGAGCTGATTCTGGTTGACGAGCGGTTTAATTGTCCAAAATAGTGTCAAATATTAGAGAAAGGACTACTCCCACTAGTTGAAAGCAATCAGATTGACAAGAATGTCTACATTTTTCAAGAAGATGGAGCGCCATATCATACGAGCAAAATACCAAAGGCCTGGAAGGCATCGCAAGGAATCATGGGTAGCCCAAAATCCTGACATGAATCCAATAGAGCACATTTGGGAGCACCTTCACCGAAGACTTCGAGAGCGTGCAACCAAAATTACGTCAGTGGCAACCCTTAAAGAAACATTGTTAAAGGAGTGAAAAATATGGATAAGACGATTGTTGATAACTTGATCAAATTCATGAAAAATCGAATACAATAACTGAAACTAGCAAATGGAGGAACAACTCCATCTTTCTTCCAAATACTCTTTATTCATGTTGATTTTGGATTACATAATTAAATTTTGAAATTGGATGTAGTTTATTTCTCCTGGCTAAAAAAAAACTTTTCTTAAAGTGTAGATGTTTTCTAACGTATAGAGGTTGATATGTCGCCAAGCAAAACAGTCAAGAATATAAAGTAAAAACATTGCTTTTTAAGAATAAAGATGAGACTATTTGTCATATAATTCATAGAATTGATAATTAAGCAGAAACAGGAAAATATCTGTGATGGTGACGATCGTCTGTTTGATTTCATGACAGGTGAACAATTTTTGCGATCCTTGTGTTATAATAAGTCTTTTTTTGTATTTAAGCCTATAACTATTCACTTGGTTCGCGAATAGGTAAATATAGGTCATTCATATTGGTGTTTTAAAGTGTCCCACTTGGAGTTTTCATTTTTCTTTTGTCCCTCGTAACCGCTTTTCACACTGTTCATGATTTTCTTCATATTCGAGATGTTCAAGACTCTGTCATATTGTAATTTAGGATATCTGTCCGTCTAATGGCAGTGAGTGCAGGAAAATCTCCTAAAAGGATGAAGAGGAGACTTGAAGCAACAGAAATGTACTTCTACAGAAGGATGCTGGACCGAACATCGGAGCAACGAGGAACTTTAGGAGAAAATGAAAACAAAAAGCAAACTAGTACTTAAAATCAGGAAGAGAGAGCTGAGGTTTCTTGGGCTCATAATGAGGAAGGACGGCTTGGAATATCTGATACTCACGGGATAGACAAAAGGTTAAAATGACATAGGAAAACAACGCATAACATAGTGAGATTGAGTAAATAAATAGCGGAACAGGGCTTATGAGAAATAACAGAAAGACAACGTATATTAAGTAATACAAACGGCAGGAAGTTGTGGCGAACCATGATCGCCGACATCCTGAGGGAACATAGCATATATTTAGAAGATATTTGATCATATAAATATTTATTTGGTTCGCGGATTGGTATATATATATATATATATATATACACATGCACACACATATATGTACATACATATACACACACATATATGTACACACATATATACACTTACATATATATACGCTTACATATATATACACACATACATACACACACATACACACATACATACATACTTACACACACATACACACATACATACACACATACACACACATACATATGTATATCTATATATATATCGTTTATTTTGAACTTATTTAGAAGATATTTGATCATATAAATATTTATTTGGTTCATGAATTGGTATATATATATATATATATATATATATATATATATATATATATATATATATTCCAACATTCCACATAAAGAGGTCTCATGTTTCAAAACAAGAGCCGAAAACTTCAATATAATTATTTGAATTAAATTGAATTAAAGTACTAACCTCCGTTCCATCTTCAAGCGTAATTTTTTGGGGAATAACTTATTTCTGAAATTTACGTGTTTTATAAGCATATATATATATACATACATATATATACACACATGTATACACATACATATACACACATACACATATATATATATACACATACCTATACACACATACATACATACATAAATACATACAGACACACACACACACACACACACACACACACACACACACACACACACATATATATATATATATATATATATATATATATATATATATATATATATATCGTTTATATTTGAGTCTGTAAACATTCACTTCATTCGGGAGTAGGTAAATCTATAAACATTTATTTGACTCAGGAAATAGCTACATATTTGTTTATATTTTATGTTTTAAGCATTTTTGCTTTTTTTCGGTGAGGTTCACCCTGTAGAAGGCCCTAGACCCACTTGAGTTAAAGGTCCTGGATTCTCTCGAGCTAAAGTACTGCAAAGTAAAAGGCATAGTTTACGCGTGTGTGCTGGAAGATAACGGTTAACCCTAGATTTGAATAGGTTAAGATTGTAGTAGTCAAGGAAGCATCCTCTTGGAACACGGTTCCGCAGAGCACTGGGTCACGAGAAGGACCTGCTCGATTGGAACGTTCTCCTCACCAATGGAATACAGTGGGAATAAGGGTGGAAAGATAAAATGCGCGTCGCAAGCCGGATCCTGAATGTAAGAACTGGTGGAACTAAGGAATTTAGTTTGTCAGAATACTTTCCATTGAAGTAGCGATATATAATGGAGAGGCTTATTATGAGAGAGGAGGTCTAGGTTGGAAAATAATTTGCCATCCACAAGGACTTGGAGATTCTTTTGACTGGAAAGTGAGGATGGGCAGCTCCGCCCAAATACGACAGGCCTGATCTGATATCATGAAAGGCCAGATAAAAAATGACGATTTTTTGTGCATCTTTAGTGAATGGGTCATATGTAAGCGTTCCATTTAAGGTCTGGATTCAAGACCAATAGTCGTTCAAGTGACGAGTTCGACCTAAAGGAACATCCATTCATCGTGACTGGTGGTAGTTCATGGTGGGATCGGCGATGATGGAATTATCGAGTTCGGTTTTTGAAGCTTCAATGTAACAAGACAACTTTTCCCCTTATGATGTGCTAGAGTTGCTATGAAAGTGGGGAAACATTAGTCGTTATTGTAGGGGAGTGTTAATGGAGTCAATGTAGTTTTGGGCCAGGGAAACCGAAAATGATGTATGTAGATATCATTTGTAATTATGAATCAATGACATTATGTAAATAGATCAATTGTTAAAAAAAAAAAAAGAATAATTAAAAATTAGTGTAGACGATGACAGTTTAAATATGAGAATTGAAGTTTTGATAAAATTATTCGACTGCATGGTTGATGCAACGAGTATCGACTAGACAACTTCAAATTCCATTTTCGTTTAGTCAATGTTAGAGTAATTCATAAGCAAACGCATGAATATAAATATATATATATATATATATATATATATATATATATATATATATACACACACATATATATATATACACACACACACACACACATATATATATATATATATATATATATATAATTCTACATTTAATTATTTAATTTATATATATATAACGCTATGACTGCCGACATCCTGCAGGAACATGTCATTTAAAAATTAAATGTAGAATTTTATTTATCAGTCCAAAATTCCTGGCTATCTTGTAAAGGTATCAGTCGGAGAGATAAAAACAATCAAGATAATAATAATAATAATAATAATAATAATAATAATAATAATAATAATAATAATTTTGAAAATAAGTCTGAAACAGAAGATTAGAGCAACATAGCATACACCAATTGTTTTCCTGGGGACGTTTGTAGAAAAATGAAATCCAAGATGCGATGAATTAGGAAATTATGAAAAAAAACAAAAAAAACAAAATGGATATCCGGAAGGAAAGAAAGCCAGCAAGCATTAGCAATGTGATGGAAAATAAAAAAACAAAACTTTATGTTACTAAATAAAAAGAAAATAAATTATACAATCTTAACGTGTGATTCATCTTATGATTTGAAGAACCAATGGAAAATGGGAAGAGGAGAAGTTTAAGGTAAAAGATAAAGAGATAGAAGAAAAGCAGAATTAAGCGAAAGCTAAAAAGAAAAACAAATAATATGAAATCGTTGGAAGGGAATAAAACAAGGATATAAAAATGAAGACGTTGAAATAAAAGATGGAATTAAAATGAAAACTGAATAGGGAAAAGAAAGGCAATAAAATATTCGTATTGTATTTTCATATATAATAATTTACTGTCGACAACTGCAAGGCATAAAAAGATGAAAATATTAAAAATGCAATATGGCAAAAGAAAAGTAAAAAGAATAACTGGTAGGTAAAAATTGAATAAAATGAAAAATATGAAATATGAAAATACTTATATCGCAAGATGGAAGAAATTAAAATCGGTATTAGAAAAAAAGAAAGGAAATGTGGATCGGAGAAATGGAAAAAAAAATCTATTTTGAATATAAAGAAGAAAGAAAAGCAGAGGAATAAAGAAAAGTAGAAAAAGAAAGAATGAAAAGAAAAATGGACGGAAAGGAAGTACGGAAGGAAAGAAAGTAACAGAAGGAGAGAAGGAATGGAAAGAAAGAAAGAAAGAAAGAAAGAAAGAAAGAAAGAAAGAAAGAAAGGAATGGAAAGAAAGGAAGGAAGGACTGAAAAGAAAGGAAAAAAGGAGGAAGTAAGGAAGGAAGGAATGAAAAGAAAGAAAAGGAGTAATGGAAAGAAAAGATAAAGAAAGGAAGTAATAGAAAGAAAGAAAGAAAGAAAGGAAGTAATAGAAAGAAAGAAAGGAAGTAATTGAAAGAAAGAAAGAAAGAAAGAAAGAAAGAAAGAAAGAAAGAAAGAAAGAAAAAGAAAGAAGTAATGGAAAGAAAAGATGAAGAAAGGAAGTAAGAGAAAGAAAGAAAGAAAGAAAGGAATGGAAAGAAAGGAAGGAAGGACTGAAAAGAAAGGAAAAAAGGAGGAAGTAAGGAAGGAAGGAATGAAAAGAAAGAAAAGAAGTAATGGAAAGAAAGAAAGAAAGAAAGAAAGAATGGGACAGTAATTAACGGAATGAAGGAAAGACGGAAAACCTGATCGGTAGTTATAAGGAACTGAAGTAAAAAGAAAAATAAACAAGATCTTATATAAAATTACTAAAAGGAATGGGTTGCTAACATAAAATAAAGTAAACAATTAGGAAGAAAGCACAAAGAAGTAAATGAAGACAATGTTCAGGAAAATAAAAGAACTAGAAAGAAAGGGAAAATAAAATAATGTTAAGAAATATGAATGAAGAATGGAAACGAGAAATGACTGGACCAGGCAAAATTATTTTGATGATTTCATGTATCAATCGAGGTGAATGCAAATGCTCTAGTATTTGCTGAAGAGATTTGGTATTCAGAATTAGTACATGGCGCAGGCGCATTGAGCGTAAACGACACAGCGAGCTTTACAACAATGGCAGTCAATATTAAAAAAAAGCAAATAAAAAAATAATCAGCATTACAATTGTTTTTACTCATCACTGTCATTTCCCTCCTATTTCCTTATTATTTTATTTGATTTTATTTCGTATTAAAAACAATCTCCATAAATCCATAATTTTCTCTTCCATTTGCAGACATAAAAACTATAATTCAACTGATGCATTACAATTTTGTCAATGTACGTTTGCCGTTTACATTTCCGAAGGGCCAAGTTGGAGTAAGGCTTAAAGAGAGCGAATTTTGTCTGAATTTCTCACAATTAATCTAGTATTAAGATTTCATTGTATTCGAAGAAGAGATGGGTGCCGTCCAACAACACGGCTTAACCAAAGAAATCAAGTAGGAAACCTATATTGAACGCGTAGGTACATTCGCTGTTACTCAACAACATCTATATAAAGCATCTTTTTTTAGACATTATTTTAGTATTGTTCTCATCATGGATGATATAGATATTATTGTAGATGATGTATAGAAAAAGCACCCACTGGTCATCATCAGTTACCCATATATGGCATATCTTCTGATGATTGTTGTAACAATAATATCGCAATAACCAACAGACAAACAATGAACACCTGATGATGACCAGACGGTATTTGGTCGAAACGTTGTGTCTACAATAATATCTGTATCAAGCAAGATGAGATATATAGTTCGAAATAATACAAGAATATTGACAATTGCTCAACTCAGAAACGAAATTTTCAAAAATTTGATTTCTTGAGTAGGTAAACTTTTCGACGGAGATTTTTGTAAACCAATTACCTTTAGTATCTCTCTATATTTCTGAGAGAAGGTATTAAACTCTTTGGGTTTGTCACTGGATCTTAAGGACACGTGGCACAGTGGATAAAATATTGTGAGTTCAGTACCTGGTTAAGGCAATGGAGAACTTGCAGAAGGGAATTAACAGGAGATTAGCGATAACTGACATCTATTAGACATGCAACGTGGAATTAGAACGGTCTACCCCAGTGAGCAAAATAAAGGGTTCAGTTCGACATTCCAACCACTTGAAGAATGTCGGAGCCTAAAACGGCCGAAACGTTGTGATAAATATGACAATAAAAATGAGGACAATAATCGGAATAATGTAAATAGTGTACCAATGACCTTGTACCATTTAAAAGACCCCAATCATACGACAGCAGATGTCTTTTTTGTTATGAATAACCTCGGGATTTTTCATCCCAACTAACGTCGCTCAACCACTAGCAGGCAAGGGTTTACAGGTTGTGGAGGAATTAGGAATAAGTATAAAGAGGAAGGAGCAAACAGGAGAACAGTAGATAGTGATTGACATTGCGTTTAATTTTTTTCAAATGAAAGCAGGTTGGAAATCGTGGAGCCGGGATGTAGTTCCACAAGCGAACAGTACGAACATCTGGTTAGACCAACTGTTAATCGATAAGATCACGCCTCCAGTCACGTAATGCGCTTAAATTCATACCACAGCAAAGAGCTCATTCGAACAATAACCATGAAAGTATTTATCAAAAAGTCACATAGGTGACCGTTCCTGCGGTGGGTAAGTGACTAAAGCCGAGTCACCAGATGGAGGCCAATGATACTGCTGATTCTTCTTTGGATCATATCAAGGGGCTCCAAGAAAATAGAAGGGGCACCGGACAATATATGGCGGCAATATTCTAAGTTAGGTCGAATGGTAGACTTATAGATATGCAAGATCGATTTATGAGAGCAAAAAATATGTCTCGCTTGACACAGTGTACTGACTTTCAAAGCAGCCAATGTAGCGATGGATTCAATAAAGTCTTTCCATCTTATGTTAGTCAGAGAAGGCGCAATGAGTCTTTGTTTTTGGAGGATAGCATCAGCCATGCTTATGGAAGGCAGGGAGAGGTCTCACAAATGAATAATGGAGATAAGTTTAATTTTGGAGTTGTTAAAATTGACAAGGTATCATTTGTCCCAGTTAACAATTCTCCAGCGGCCATTTTGACCATGTTTGACTCATCAGCCTTAGTATCGAGGCAGAAGTAAATAATAGTGTCGTTAGCATAGCTGCCAAGTTGGGAGCTGATGTCACCGGCATGGTCGTTAATGAAGATAAAAAAAGCGTAAGGACAAGGATGGAGCTATGGGGGATATCTTCGGA